GGGATCGAGCCTGCAACTTAAGTCTGTACCCTTAACCAGAATTGAACCTGGGACCCTTCAGTCTGCAGGCCAATCCTCTATCCACTGAGCCAAACTGGATAGGACCATTAAATATATTTAAACAAGATATTATTAGCAGTTGAGCATTTCATTTTATGGGTGTGCATAATGTATTTAGCAATTGGTGTTCACTTACGTTGTTCCTGATTTGTAAGCATATGTTATAAATGACTCTACAATGAGTACCCCTGCAGTGAAAACCTGGCAGCTATCTATAATTTTTCCTCCTAACAGGCATCAGGTATGTCTCATCCAGAGCTGTTCATTTCCCCACACATTCATCACCCATAAAAAAACAAAAACCTCCTTTGTCACTTTTAAAAGCTGGTGTCAATATTAAAGTCTCAAATGGACAGAGGGCTCCTTTAAATGCAGCCCCATCACCTGCTGAGGGCCCTTCTCCAACTGTGTCTTCTCCAACAGGAGCTTTCACACAAGTTCTGTTTTATTTCAGAACTTGGTTGCATTTCAATATAAACATAAGTCCCAAAGGTCACCTTGATCACACACATAGGAGGGAAAATCACCTTTGAAACACTGAAGGCTGGAACAGAAAAGCAATAGGAGTAGCTTGAGGCCATGGAAATGGGTGTAATCAGACCTATTGAGTCTGAGATTAGTCTGTGGTCCCATCAGGGGTAGTAGATGCCTGAGCCTGTCCTCACCCACCTTCCAGGGCTGGCTGCAGCCCGAGACCCAGAGAAGCTGTGAGCGGGCCCGTGACGAGCCTATGGCACTGATGGAATGGATGATTGCTGCCAAATGACTCACCCTCATGTTTCTCTGGTGACTGCTTGGGTCAGGGCCTGGGGTGCAGCACCTGTTATCCGTGGGTGGGCTGGGGAGAGCCAATTATGGGAATGGGACACTGAGGTCACAGGAGTGAGATGCTGTGTCACAAGGGACCCATTCTGTCTTCTAGCCAGTCCCAGTCCCCTTACCACTTCTGTATTTTCCTAATGTTTGATTTCTTAATATGCACATCCTCCTCCTCTCAAAACAACAGCTAGAGGTCATTTGCTTATTTCTTAAAGTAGAGCAACATTCATTTCATTGCACACCTGGCTATGTTATGACTGGAGTTAGTCATGGTGTCTGGACACTGACCTTGAAAACAGAAGGCCTGTTAACCCAGGAAAGGCAGTTCTGACCTCATCATTGTTGTTGTCACGGCATTAAAAGCATGCCTTAATTCCTCTGCATATATCCTCATTTAACCCTCACAACCCTGTGAACTAAATGTTCCTAGCCCCATGTTCCAGATGGAAACACTAAGTCTCAGAGAGGTGAACTGACTTACCTGCAGCCACACCATTGACTTGTATTCTGGTCCAGCTGACCCCAGGTCTGTGCCCTCACCTCATTTCTGCCCCTTGGAAGTGCCTCGAGCCCCAGAGAGCCACAGAGCGAAGGGGACAAAGAGCACTGGGCCTGGAGTCAGAACATCTGGCTTTGGGTCCTGGATTTCCTTCAAATTGACTGTGTGGCTGAGGGCACCTCACTGCATCTCCAGGGGCCTCCGAACCTCATTGTCAATTGAGGAGATTGGATCAGACAATCTCTGAGATGCCTTAGTTCAGGCTTGTTTGGTGGGAACAGAAAGCCTCTATGCTTAAACAGAACCAGACCCTGCAGGCCAAGAGCCTGGGGCTCTCCCAGTGAAGGCGGGGCTAGCCCCAGACCGGCAGCCCCCTCCCTGGAACTTCCTCCAGCTTCCCCATTTCATTCTGTGTCTCTGAAAACTGGGTTTATTTTTCTACAGATCAGCTTTCTCTGCTTCTTTGGCTGATGGTGGCAGATGCCTCTCCAGCTCCCAATGATGAGGCCTTAGTTCTGGGGGCCAGCTGAGTCTCACCAAATTCCAATTCTGAATTCCCAGGGAAAGAAACTTGCTTGAGCAAGTTGGTTTGGATATCCACCTCGGACTGTCCTTTGCCTTTACACAGCTCTTCAATGACTTGGCCACTTGGCCATTTAGTTTCTCAACTTCTCACTGGTTGCAACCTGCGTATGCCTGTCCTCTCCATGAAGCTCGTTGGTTTCTAAAGGCAGCACTTAACTCATCTTCATCTTCATCCTCAGCATGAAAATCAGAGCCCTGCACAAGAATTGTCACCTGAACTTTTGCTACCTTCCCTGAGTGAATCATGTGTTGGCCCCATCTTGACCTTCTTCAGGACTTGTGGCCTTAGCACTGTGGACATCCCTGAAGAGTCCCAGGGGACTACCCACTCAGGTCCCTCAGGACCAAGCAGGTTTGGGGGAGGGAGGGTGAACCCAAGAAAAATCTCCCAACTCCTCAGATTTCCATCCCAGATCGTGTCTGCAAATGGATACACAGGACTGTGACCTGTACTCACATTGGCACATGAATGAGGGAGACTTGGTGAGGGCTCTTAAGACTTGATTTTGTGGCCACATTGCCCCTTATGTGTTTCCAAACCTAAGCAGATGCCAGTTTTAAGAACTAAGACAAGGTCATCAGGGAACCAGAGCTGCCAAGCTGAGCTGAAGTGCCGAGTCTCCTTTATTATTCTGCAGTGCTTGTCAAGCCCGAAGGCAATGGCAGTGGTCTCTGCAGTCCTTGGCCCTTGACCATCCCCAAGCTCCTCCAGGCCCCAGTTCCACATCATCCAACTCAGAGGCAACAGAAGGACAAAAGCGTGTGTGTTGAGGAGGCAGGTCTGCCCGGCTGCAAACAGCTGTCCCATCTGTCCTTGGGAATGGACCTTCAGGGAGCCACAGCCCTTCATTCCTGCTGATGCTGCACGTGGGCCAGCTTCGCTGGTGAGCTTGTGCTTTTTCTGTAGGTCTCAATGTCACCTCATCTAGAATGAAATTATACTAATCTTGTCTCTTCTGCCAAAGATGCTATTCCTAACCTGTGTACCGAGCCTCTTGGGGGTCTCCCCAGCCTACATGCCCCCACTTCTTTGTAACACAGAACCCAGTTGATCAGACCAAGGTGGATATACAACCCAACCTGCCCAATTAGATTTCTTTTTGGAATGAGTGTCCAAGAGAGAGCAAGACAGACATAGTCACATGTCTTTTATGACATAGTCTTGGAAGCCACACAGCATCATCTCTGCTGTATTCTATTCTTTAGAGGCAATCACTATGTCTAGCTCTCAGAGAGAGGGGATTCAGTCTCTTCTTGAAAGGGTATAAAAGGATTTGTGGGCCTATTGAAAAACCACCACAGCCCAGAACTGAACAATGAAGTCTTTCCAAATGTTTGGGGGTTTGGTAGTCAAAGGATAGCATCTGGGGAGTCCCCTGCAATAGGCAGAATAACCCCTAACGATGCCCGTGTTTTAGAACCTGTGAATATGTTATGTTACACAGCAAAGGGAAAGAAGTTTGTTCATCAACTGACCTTAACGTAAGGGGACTATCCGGCATTTCCAGGTTGGCCCAATGTGGTCACAAGGGTCCTTAAAAGTGGGCACCGGAGGCAGAGGAAGAGCCAGGATCAGAGTGCTGCAGAACTGGACTGGCGCCATTGCCAGTTTTGAAGAAGGAAGAGGCTGTGAGAGAGGATGCAGGCAGCCGCTGAAAGCTGAAAAGGCAAGAAACATTCTCCCCGAGAGCCTTCCGAAGGAGCACAGGTGGCCACTGCCTGGGTCTCAGCCCAGAGAGACCCATTCTGTGTTGACTCCAGGCACTGAATGTGTGGTAATCTGTTACCGCCACAGGGAACAACACAGGGCTATCCCTGGCCTTCTCCCGTTCCTTTCCTACCCCATTGCTGCTTACATCACATGCTTACGACCACTGTACTGATTTATTAGGGTCCAGATTTTTATTGTACATGTTTACCATCTCCTTAAAACTATAAAGGTACGGCTTATATTTTATTGTTTTTTAAAAATATATATATATACATACATATACACACACACACACATATATATACACATACACACATACACACACACACATACACACACACACACACACACACACACACACACATATATATATATATAGCAGCAGTCGCCAACCAGTGGTCCGTGGACCCACTGATGGTCTACGAGGTCTGAAAGGTTGGCGACCCCTGGTTTAAAGCACCCAATACACCGCTCCTTACTGTGTAGCCATGACCAGTTATTTACTAGACTGTCTGAAAGCCAAGGCAGCCAATCTGGCAAAGAGATGAAACAGTCAAGAGCTGGTGTTAAATAAAATACGAACTCCCATGAGTTTCTCCATCAAACTGGTGCCAAGAAGCACACCCATGGCAGGAGAGTACACTGAAATCCTGTTTTCTCTGTATCTTTCTTTGCTCTCATTTTTAGCTAGCAGCCAAGCTTCATCCTCCCCGAGGTAGAGGATTTGGGGCAGGACAGAGGGTAGCTGGGGGAGGTCACTGGCTCATCCCCACCTTTGCAATGACGTAAGGCCTCTGAAGGGATGGATATGTGTCCTTTCTGTGGAGAGGCGGGAGGAAATCTGCTAGAAGACAAGGAGGGTGGATCCTCAGTGCCTGAGGTGACCACTGAGCACCGGCTCCTGAGTCCTGCGCACTAGACTCTGGGCCTGGGGGTTCCCCACATTACCTCAAACTCTCAGGTTTCCCTCAACCCACACACACAATGCAAAAGCCACAAACATGGGAGGGGGTGGTTGGGTAGGGCAGCGGGGGTGTCTCCTGTGGCTACACAGGAAGGTGATATCTCCAGGGCCTCCCCTCTCTTCTGATCTGGGGCCTTTGCAGAATAAGGTGGAGCAGAGGGGACAGTAGGGAGAGGGGATGACCCCAAGGATGACCAAGACAGAATTTCCCATGAATCCACCGGGAAGCAGGACTGGAGAAAAAGGAAGTGATACTCGAGGTTGGTGACACCTCCTTTGGCTTTCAATGGAGATTTTAATCCGGTGGCGGGAGGCCTGGGGCGGGGTGGTATGGAAGGGGCAACAAGCCTCTACTGTGCAGCTCAAGAAGTTGGGGGAGGATGAACTGGCGCTCTGATGGGTTCCGGTTCCGTGGCAGCACTAAGTTGGAAGCATGTCCTCGATCACGTAGAGGTTGTAGCACAGATACATCAGAATGCAGCTCCAGATGCCAACGATGAGGAGGGTGCCCAGGCCCGGTGTGGTCTCCTGCTGGATGGGGAGAAAGGCAGGAGTCTGAAGCAAGGTCAGATCAGCAGCTGGCGAGCACCCTCCCCTCCACGGGAGCCTCCAGGCAGCCGCCTCCAGGCTAGGCTACCCAATCTTCCTTCCTCGTGCCATGTTCTCTGAGACTGAGTGGATGTGGTGGGGGCAGAGCCTGAACGGGCACAGGTAAGGTCTGATGCAAATGCAGCCTGAGCCTCTGCCTTGGGGATGACGGGGCACCCAACTGAGACAAGGCACATCTCGTATGGATCTACCTACCCCTGATTGTGGTTGTTCTTTAGGGCACACAACATACATTTCTCCTGTAGAGGACAGAAACAGCACAAGAAAGATCATTTTTCCCTGGTCCAAGATGGCCAGACTGCTGGGCACCTCAAGTTTTGCTATAGGAAAGGACAGAACAATACAGTGGCGCTTGGGGCAGACACATCCAGGATTGAGGCCTACAGGGCAAGACTCCAGAGAGGACTTGAGGCTTCAGGGCCTCCCCAGGACTGCAGAGGGATGCAATCCTTACAGCGAAAGGTTTCAGTCAGGAGGGCCCAGGGGGAGGGGAGGCAACAGCAGGAGCCCAGGGTACAGCTCTTCGGCAGGGCGGGGGTGCGGGGGGAGGTGGCGAGCTTCACTCACATAGCAGGTCCCACACTGAAGGGAGTCCAGTGGGTCCTTTTTGAGTTTCTGTAGTGCCATATTCTTCTTGTGACTACAAAGCGATGCTCCTTCAGCTCCCTCCAGTTTCTTGAGCAGGTGCTGTGATTCTATGTCAGGCTTTCCTATCTGCCCAAGTTCCTGATGCTCCTTTGGTCCTCTTCTAAGGGGACTGGGGGAGTCAGGGAGGAGCAGAGTTGGGGAGACAAATTCCAACATGACAAGGAGATACCCATAGCACGGGTGCCCGTGGAAAGCCTTGACTCCAAGCCATTGGGGCCACAGAAAGCAAGACAGCTCCTCCAAGGGTCTGAAGACCGAGAACATTTAGCAATGTGAAGGGGGAGATTTTTTTAGGGACGAGGAGAGGTGGGCGCAGGTTATACTTACAGCTTGCTGTTTTTCTGTATATTTATTAAAACATCCATCTTCTCATCCATATCCTTCTGCATCTCCTTCAAGAGAGAATTCAGAGCTAGACTCTACATCTTGAAGGGCGTTAGAAGTCCCCTCCTCCTGCCTCTCTGCAAATCACTCAGAGATCACACCTCAGCATTGTACTTCCTCAGAATCCTCACCAGCCTTGGGTGAGAGGGTTTATGAAGTGCAGCTGACATGGGCTGCTTTCCTTCTTACCCTCCCCCATTCCATGATTAGGCTGAGCAATAGACCAAGTCATCAGGGGCTTGCCCAAGTCTCCAGGTGAGTCAGAGGCCAGGCAGTGATTTATCTGAACTCACACTGAGATGAAACCATTACCTGCCTTGGTCCATGCCTATAAAATGACAGAACCAAGAAAACAAATCATGTGACACCCCTCTCCCCCCCAAAAAAAGACACATTGACCCCAACGTTTGGCCTCGCCACACACCCAGATATTTCATACTTGTTTGCTCCATCTTTTACCCAATTCCAGGCAGAAATGGTCAATACAACACAAAACTGATAGTATCTCAAATGGCACCTCCCATTTATTATTTTCTAAGGACTAAAAGGATAGTAAAATCTCAGCAAAGTTTAGATAAATTGATCTGGGAGAACTAGATCGGAATAGCGGTCACAAAAGAAATTCTGAGGTGGCAGATGTTATCAGAGACAATATTTGTTATTGACATAACTGGGTTGGATCAAACATCATAAAGTGTAAATGAAAAATAATTTTTGAGGAAAATAATTTTAATTAAAAAATGAAAGACTGGGAAACAGTTTACTGAACTGCAATAAAAACTGGGTGGAGATGATTTTAAAAAATACCTTCTTGAAAAGCATTTTTAAATGTTAGTATAAATGTTGAATAAAATATTTGTATTCATAAGTAGAGTTAAAATATCCTGGAAGTCAAAATTTCTCCTGGGTCCAAAAAATCAGAATCAAACATCCCACATTTTTACAAGTCTCACCACCGCTTCAAACTCCTCGCATCCCAAACTGACCTCCTCGTTTTCTTTTCTAAATTAGTTCTATTTCCCAAGCACCCCTGTCATTGTCACCACTTTCTTCTAATTACACAAATTAAGGTTTTGATACCATCATGGATGCTTTCCTCTTCTTTCATTCTCTATATTGAATCGGTCACCAAGAATGTTGTTTTTCCTTCGATGCGTTTTCCAGATTCACCCTTTCCTTTCTACTCCTACACCTGGTCCAGCTTTCTTCACCTTGAGCTGGATGTGGCTTCCTGTCTGATATTTTAGCTCCAGATGACCCCTCCCTACTCCCCAGGGCCCCCAGGCCACCTTGCAAACAGCTGCCGGCTCAGCTTTCTGAAATGCTGCTCCTAGCATGTTCTTTGATTAAGAATCTCCAGAGGCCCCTTACTGCTTACATAGCCAAGTCCCAGCCGGTCTGCCTGTCTTTCAAAAGCCTTCATTACCCACTTCCTCGTGCCCCCTCCATTTTATTTCTCACAGTTTCCCCAAATGATTCCACTTTTATGACTGATCTCCCCGCTGACTGTGATACGCTTCATGTTCCTCCTGCCTCCATGCTGTGCGCAAGCTGTGCCCACGCCCGAAATAGCCTCCTTTGTGTTCCTTTCATGCCCAGTCCTACCCACTAACAAAACACTCACTGTGCTTGCATTTTACCACAGAAATAACACATGCCCTTTGCAGAAAATCTGGATAACACAGAGGAATATAAAAGAAAAAATTGTAATCATTTAGAAGTAACAATAGCCCTTTTGGTATATTTCTTTCCAGTCTTTTTTCTGTATGTTCATTTACCTATTTTTTCCCATTTATTTGAGATCAGCCTGTACACATGCCTTGTATCTTATTTTACTTCTCATTACAAGCATTCTTCCTAAGCACTGTCTCTAATAGTTCCTAATTTTCCATATATGAATATACCATAACTTATTTGCCTATTTTTCTACTGTTAAAATTGTGGAAATGCTTTTTGATACCTGTAGTCAAATTCCTTTTCAGTTTTTTACAAACTTGAACTCTGAGCAGCAGTACAAAAGCATTCCTATCTTATTCTATAATTATCATAAATTAAAACTTTGCTTGTTTGAATGTAACAATCTAATCATTGTTTTCATTTGCATTTATTTGATTACCCATGAGGTAAACTCTTTTAATGTTTATTGCTTTTTAATTATATTCCTTTCTGTGGACTATCTATTCCTGCCCTTTTCCCATTTTTCTATTTGGTTCTTATTGATTTGTATAAACTTTACAATTTGCAGATAAAAAAAACCTGTTGTCTCTGCCTATCATATTTGTGGAGGAAAAAAAATGTTTCTTCAGCTGAAGCCAATTTGGCTCAGTGGATAAAGCATCAGCCTGCAAACTGAAAGGTCCCAGGTTCGATTCCCGACAAGGGTATGTACCTTGGTTGTGGGCACACCCCCAGTAGGGGGTGTGCAAGAGGCAGCTGATTGATGATTCTCTCTCATTGATGTTTCTAACTCTCTATCCCTCTCTCTTCCTCTCTGTAAAAAAAAAATCAATAAAATATATATTTTAAAAAATGTTTCTCCAAAAATGTTGTTTGCTTTTAATTGTTTATGTATTTTTCTGTGATAATTTCAAAATTTTTAATATTGTTTAATATACCAATATTTCTTTTGTGATATATTCCATTGTAATTAATGCTTAGAACCTCTGGTTAAATACTTATATACACTTTCTCCTTATTGTTTTTTAATTTTAAATTCACGTTATAGATTTCAGTTTACTGAGTTAAATGAATTAAGTCTTTTCTTCATATAGTCAAGCAATGTTAATAGTAAACAATCCTTTCCTTCTCACTGACCTTTAAAAAAAATCTTCATTTTATTTTAAATTTTATAGAGCTGGGAGGAAGGTTCCCAAACTTGAGTGTACAACAGAAACACACCGGGAGCTTTAAAAACTACTGATCCTGAACCTCATCCCAAGAGGTTCTGATACAATTGTTATGGGGTGCAGCCTGCGTATGAGGGAGCAGGTCAGAGCCACAGTTCAGGTGAGTGCAGCCAGGTGAGTAGCCACTGCAGAAGTGCTGAGGACCGGGTTCTCATGCAGGGCGAGTATCACAACTGGGCCCCAGCCTCTTACTCTGGGCCTAGGCCTGGGCATATGAATTTCAGGAATCCTCACAAGTATCCTCATTGTACCAGGCAGAGAGGCTCTTACAGGGTTCTCTGTGCTGATTATCCTGGGGCTGTTCCACCTTAATTTGATTATTATGGTTTTATTATGAATTTTAATATCCAGTAGGGGTAGTTACAGGTCTCATCGAAATAGGCCTCGGGCTCTGCTGTGTTTACTTGTGCTGGTGATTCTGCAACCACCAAAGTCTGAGAACCATGGTTCTAGTATCTAGATGATCCTCTTAGTGACTGTTGAGTTCAAAAATAATCTTATTAGGCTTTTGGTTAGATTTGCATTAAGCCTTCAATGCAGCCTTCAGAGCTCACCTGAAGACTCATTTTTTTCTATAAGGACTTTTCTGGTTACTCCAACCTACCTTCATTACTCACATCTCTAAACTCTTAATAAGTGACATACAGTTATCATTTTCTTGTTACTCACCTGTAAATTCTTCCTTGCAATAGAATTTGGGGCAGGACCTGGTATCGCCTTCCACAATGGTACTGGCCCATGTAAATGCTTACCTTCATAATCTCCACAAATTCCTGGAGTTTATCAAAATCCTTGTCCATTACACATTTTATCTAACAAGGAAGAAAGGCGCAGAGCCTGTATTACTGACGGTGGAGTCATTTTAAGCAAAGGGCAGCAGCTGCTCTGCTGGAGTGAGCTGGATGAAGCTCACGGAATGAACTAGTCATGGCCCATGAAAGCCTCTTTCTTCTCAAGGGGTTGGGGAAGGGACGAGGGTGCTGTTAGTATCTAGTCAGCACCACCAGCAGCCTTGGCACAACTTAGATCTGGCCATTGCCAGGCTTCCCTCTGGAGCTCAGACCACAGCTTCAGTGACACCTTCTCGCGTGAGCATTCATTCCCCTTCTTTGTAAGGATGCTCTAAGTGGGCCCATCAAGGAAACAAGAGGAGAGGCCTTGCTCTGCAGCTTGCTAAAGGGAGGTGAGTAAGAAGAACTGAACTCGTCCCTGACTACCAATCAGCCCCTCTCTGTCACTAAAGTTATATCTCCCCAGCCGTGTCCCTAAGACACCTTAGGAGTCCTTATCACTCAATCATTGGGTTGAAGCATCAAACAAATATGATATCCTCAGATGCTCGACACTTCAATGCTCCAGGGCAGTGGTCGGCAAACTCATTAGTCAACAGAGCCAAATATCAACAGTACAAGGATTGAAATTTCTTTTGAGAGCCAAAATTTTTAAACTTAAAGCTTTTTCTAACGCCACTTTTTCAAAATAGACTCGCCCAGGCTCTGGTATTTTGTGGAAGAGCCATACTCAAGGGGCCAAAGAGCCGAATGTGGCTCCCGAGCTGTAGTTTGCCGACTATGGCTTTAGGGCATTTGGGCTGAGTTCACTGGAGTGCTTTCTCCATACAACTCTTGATTTCTGTCTCTTTCAAAGTCAGCTACCAAGTTCTGGAAAGACCCAGCTTGTTACCTGTTTTATCTCCTCCATCTTTTCCTTGAGCTCTTCCCTCACCTCCCTGAGATCATTCTGAGGAAATAAAATGGGGAAGATAAGAGTAAAGAAATGGCTTGGATGGAAGGAAAGTGTCAAAAGAGGAAAGAAAAGATCCAAAGATATGGATAAGGAAGGACAGAGAGATTTCCCATCAGGGAGGAGAGAAAGGAGGCTACTAAGAAAGTAGAAGAATCCAGCTGGCGTGGTTCAGTGGTTGAGAACCACCTATGAAACAGGAGGTCATGGTTCAATTCCTGATCAGGGCACATGCCTGGAGTTGTGGACTTGATTCCCAATAGGGAACATGCAGGAGGCAACCAATCAATGATTCTTTCTCGTCATTGATGTTTCTCTTTCTCTTTCCTTTCCTCCCTCCGTTCTTTCCTCCCTCCCTTCCTCCTTCCTTCTCTCCTTTCCTCCCTCCCTCCCTCTCTGAAATCAGTAAAAATATGTTTTAAAAAAGAAAGAAAGAAAACAGGAGAGTGGGACATCCAGACATCATGAGCTTTCGACACTTCTGGGATATGACCATAAAAAAATATACAAACAACCCAAAATAAGGTTCATCCTACAAAATGAATGGTCTCTAATCCTAAAATATGTCAGTGCTCAAGAGATAAAGGTTGAAGAACCATTCCAGGTGACAGGAGGCTAAGGTACACAGAACCTGGGTGCAAAGTGTGACCCAAGATTGGGTCCCAGACCAAAAGGCTGTTGTTTTTTCTCTTGTTATGAAAGACATTAGTGAGATCATTGCCGAAATGAGAATAAAGGCTATAGATGAATCCTGTGTCAAAGTTAATTTCCTGATTTTGATAATATTACTAGCCATATAAGAGAGTTGTTGTTTTTAGGAAATTTACACCGAAATTTGAGAGAAACATGCTCCCCAATGGTTCAGAAAAATTATATATTTATTGTGTGTGCCTGTGTGTGTGTGTGTGTGTGTGAATATATACATATATGAGATAGAGGGAAAGAACCATGATTAAATGCCAACATTTGGGAAATCAGGGCAAAGGGTATACTAGAATTCATTGTGTCATTTTTTTGAAACTCTTCTGTAAGTCTGAAATTATCCTATATAATATAAGCCTAGTATGCTAAGTGCCCAGTTGTCTGTTCAACCAATCAAAGTATAATATGCTAATGATATGCTAAGGCCACTCAACTACTCTCTATGATATACACTGGCCACCAGGGGCAGATGCTCTGACTGGTAGGTTAGCTTACTGATGGGGTCCAACCAATTGGAACTGAGCAAGATGGGCCAGACATGCCGTGGAGCCTTTCCACAGTCCCTCCCTAGCTGGCCAACCTCCTGCATGGGGTCCCTTGGCCTGGCCTATGCCCTCTCCCAATCTGGGACCCCTCAGGGTTTTCTGAGAGCCAGTTTCAGCCCAATCTCGCAGGCCAGACCAAGGGACCCCATGGTGCACAGATTCGTGCACTGGGCCTCTAGTTTCACAATTAACAGTTAAAGGAAACAAACCAAAATAACTAAAGAGAATGGAGTCACAGTTTATCCCCCATGGAAGTTGTTTAGCTGCTCAGCCCCACTTCACTGGGCTGATCCCACCATACACCCTGGGTTTAAACACCTACCTTTAGCTCCCTCGTCCCTGCCGTTTTGGTAAATGGCCCTTCTGATTTAATTCCTTTGCATTCATATGTCTGTTGATTAAAACCAGAGACACAGGGTATTGGAAACTGCAGGTGTGGGGTAGATAAGGCAGGAGAGATCACCCCGAGTTTCTGTTCCTCCCTCCCAGCCAAGGTAGACAGAGAGGAGCTGGTGGCCCCACTTGTGCAGCAATTTCCTCCATCCTTCACTTCTCTCTGAGCTCCTCTCATTCCACTCCCTTCCTGGGCCTCAGCTCTGTCCCCAAACAACCAGGCTCATTCCTGCCTCAGGACCTTTGCACAGCTGCTTCCTCGACTTACAGTGCCCTTCCTTAGTCTTTGGGTGGCTGGAGTCTCATCCTTCAGCTCTCAGCTCAAAGAGAGAGCTATTCTGACCCCTGACTTACAGCAGCCTCCCCGTCAGATTTCCCTGTTTCAATTCTCTACATAGCACTAACACTACTGATTTTGTTTCCTGATTTGTGCATTTATCTGATTAGTTACTACCGTGACGTTCTAAGAGAGCAGAGAGCGTGTCTGTCTCTCAGTGTACCCCCAGCACCTGGGGCAGGTCTTGGCCACAGCAAAGCGAATGACCTGACTCCAGGTCAGCTCCCACGGCTCTCAGGCCTGGGTGCTGGCATGGGTTCAAAAGAGCTTCTTACTTTGATCGGCTCTGGCTTCAATTCCAGGCAAATTGCCTTGTAGTTCTTGCCCTGCGGAGAGAGGCAGTTGGGATACAGGCCTAGGACCAGGGTGGCTACCCCCGCCCCTGACAGGAGGACCCTCACCGGCCCTGCCTGTCCAACTGTGCTTGAGCCCAGGCCCACATGTCCCCCGGCCCCTGATTCAGGACGACTCCAGTCTTGTCCTGCTGTTACACATCTCTCACGAGCATCCCCTGCCTGTTCGGCAGGCAGCTCTCTCCCTGCTGGGGGTGCCCGGGCGGAGAGGAATTTTACGGGAACTTTAAGAAGCCACGTAAGTACTATTTCAAGAGCGCAGACTCAGGTTCTAATCTCAGCTGTCCTCCCTACTGGCCATGCCAACGTGGGCAAGCTATTTAGTCTTTCTGGCCTTCATTTCCTCATCTGTGAAGTGAGGAAGATAATTACGTTTATATAATAAATCATTGCACACCTTAGACATGCCCATTAGATGCGGGCCTGGCGCAGGCCTGGGTGGGGTCCCGCCCCGGGGAGTAGCAGAGGTGGGGTTTGGGACTATGTGTGCTTGTCCCCGAGAGAGCCAGCAAGGCTGCTTTCCTTCCCAGGCCGAGGCCAGGAATCAGTCCCACCCTCCTTCTGGGCTAAGTGGTAACTTCATGCTCAGACAGAGAAAGAGAAGGCCAGCTTTCATCAGAGAGTCTCTACACCCACCCCACCCCACCCCCATTCACAGGGGCTCAGAGGCCCCCCAGGGTCCAGCTCTTTCTCCTTTACCAGGTTTGCTTTCTTCAGTTCTGCCTTCTTGGCCGACATGATGGAGGAGGCCAGAGTGTTCTTTTCCCAACCTCCCCACGACGGGCCCTGTGACCAGGCCACTGTCCTATGCAGATTACAGGCCCGGGGAGGGCGGGTGACCGCCTGTGTGTGTGGAGCAGCTGAGGTCACAATGCCCAGGACTCCCATGCCATCCTGGAGTGTCAGCGCAGCTCTGAGCCTGGGGCGCCTTGGCCGCTGAGCTGAGGGACTCAGGTCTGACTGCCCTGAGTGGGGGAAGGTGTCCTGCAAAGTCCACGCGAGGGACCGGGCCTGTACTGGCCGAAGCACAAGGCGCACCTCAGGAGAAGCAAGGGCTGCTGGCTCCGCCCGGTAGGCTCGTCTCCCTGCTGCGCGGACCAGGGGGTGTCCGCCCGCACACTGGCTTCCAGAGCCCACGCTGTTTCCTCTGCCTCGCTCTCCTGAGGTGGATGGACCCTCCCTCGGCCTGGAAGCTGACTTGGGCTGAGAAGTCTCTCTGGCCCAAGGCGCAGGTACCGTGTAACCTGGGTTTTTCTGTCCTGTGGGGAGACCGGGGAAGGGGCAGGATGAGTTCTGACTCCCTGTCTGACTGCATGGCTGGCCCTGTCCCCTCTCCCCTCCACCGGTCTCTGCCCCTGCTCCTCCCACCATTCTGGAAGAGGGTCACCCGTGGACAATGCTGAAGATGAGAAGCCTCGGGGGGCAGAAGGGGTGGGAGTGGGGGGGGGGCGGAGGCAGATTCTAAAGAACACTAGTTGCTTCTGAAAAGGCCAGTTTGGGAATAGAGGACAGACAGCACAGGCGTACAGGGACCAACGCAAACTGCCTGTGAAGTCCGTGCCACCACACACCTCGCAATGACCCCTCACACCCCCCTCCGCTCCAGCCCTGTCTGCGCCTGTCCTTCCAGAGGCTGCGGGCACGGGGACTTCCTGGGGAGCGTATCCTGGGGGTTATTTCACAGCCCCCAACCTGGTGACCGCCCTCGCTCTTACTCTGTCACGGCCAACGGAGAATCTGACTGTCCCTCTGCTCAGTGTGGGGAGGAGGGAGTGGTGGGGGGCTTCCCAATCCTCCTCACCCCCTCACAGCTTCCTAAAACCCCCCCAGGCCCGAGCATGACACGCCAGAAACTGACTGGCTGCGTCTGGTTACCGGATGCGGGCTCGTCTCCTCCTCGCTGCGGCTGCCGATCTCCCTGCCTTTGCTTGGCTGGGCTGAGCTGCCGTTCCAAGAGCCTCCTTCCAGCTGAGCAGATCCCAGGCGGCCATGGCCTGCACATCAGGAAACTGGGTCTTCAAAGCAATCAAGGTCTCCTGGTGAAGCCGCTCTATACATTACACACGTAAAATCATCATGGTTTGGACAGACATTTAACAAGACCCAGTGCCTCCTCACTGGTGCTCACAGTCAGGCGCCCAGGACCTCACTGTTGTCATGGATGCGCTCGGGAAAGGGCTCGGGAAACCCATCTGACAAACCCGAGTCGAGGAGTCTGACGTTGTCTCCTCTCCTTAAGATGTCGCCACTGCATGAAGCGCGAGGGCGACACCAAGACATTGGGTGCTGCTGCAGCACCACCGTTCCCTGCAGGCTGTGGCAGCTCCCCCTGAGGAATGCCAGCTCCGCTCTTCCCAACCCCCGGCCCTGGCGATACCCGGTGGTATGGGGCCAGGAGCACACTCCCGCCGAGGTCCCAGTGGAGTTTGCTGGAAAAGGAGCAGCCACAATGGAGACACAGAGGCAGCCACACGTCTCTCTTCTCCGAAAATGCCATCTGGATCTCCTTTACGAGGGTTTCTCAGCTTCCTGAAGACAGTGTTTGTGGAAAGGCTGGTGGGGAAGAAGGGATTTCAAACTGGCCTTAGGCCTCTGGGTTTGGTCTCTTGTGATTGCAGGGGGACAGAATCCCAGGATCTGGGCTACAATGAAGCCCGGGCTCAGCCCATGTAGCCCAGAGAACATGACTGTCATCCATGCTGTAGGGCCTGTTGGACCACTGGGTGACCCAGAGCTAAAGGCCTTGGACCGGGGCAGGAGGTTTCATCAAGGTGCCCAGGGTCGCGACGGCTGTGGTCTCCAGGCCACCTCGGATGGACCTGAACCAGGTGACTGGCTCTCGCACACCCTGGGAACATCCCCCCCACAGTTGGGCACAGCCCTCAGCCAGAGAGGGGCTCGCTAGTTCCTACCCCAGAACCCCTCACATACAGCTTTCAGAGATTTAAGATGATTGGCTATTGCATTATCCTACTTCACCGATATACAGAGGCCTCATAAAGCTTTATCACACCAGGACGGTCCCCTCTGCTCATTGACACGTTGGTTACTATGCGATTTCCGATCATTTCACTCTATAAATAGTGTGCCCGGCCTTGACAAGAATCATAATCCTATGACATTGTTTCTATGGGACAATGATCCAGTTTCTTCTACCAGGGGAACTTCTAAGGACCTCTATTTCAGGAACGAAACATAATAGTCTGAACAGATGAAGGTAAATCTCCAGCTAATTTTGATGTATCTAACGGCGAGTGAAAGGCCAGAGCGAAGCTATTGTGTGAGGATTGCGGGCTGTTTCCTCCTGGGCGTTCGTTCACATGACAGGGGCGTGTTTGCCAGGGCCTCGCGGGACCCAGCGAGGGGGACCTGCTCCTCTGCCCACAGCCGGCAGTTAGAGAGATAAGGAGCCACCGATAACCAGAGGCTCCCTGCTCCTGCCAAATATGGCCCCTGGGCCACCTCGCTTGGCCGGTGTCCCTTTGCCTCTTTGGGTGGAATCCAAATAGAGGAGGGCAGCTATGCTTTTTTGGCCTCTGGGCTTGCAGGCTCTCTACAGCTGCCATCCTAGTTGCCCCAGCAGCCTTCTCTCTACATCAGACACCTCCAAATCCCCATTTTAGTACAGAAGCAATGAAACCAGGTGCATCCTCTTTGGATGGCTTTTGTTGAGGGATTATAGTTGACCCTGAACAACACTGGTTTGAACTGCATGAGTCACGTTTATGCACCTTTTTCAAATCCATACAGTATTGTAAATGTTTTCCTTACAATTTTCCTAATAACATTTTCTTTTGTCTAGCCTTATTATAAGAGTACAGTATATAATACATATCTACCTATATAAAAGGCTAAGCAACCGTCACAACCTAACGAACAACTGAACAGGCTGTGTGGGGCAATCAGGTGGGCAGGCAGAGGCAGTTAGGGGTGATCAGCCTGGCAGGAGGGGCAGTTAGGGGCAATCAGGCAGGCAGGAAGGTGAGTGGTTTAGGAGCCAGCAGTCCCGAATTGTGAGATCGATGTCTGACTGCCAGGGATTGGGCCTACACTGGCAGTCAGACATCCCCTAAGGAGTCCTGGTTTGGAGAGGATGCAACCTCCCCCCTCCCGCACACAAATTTCATGCACTGGGCCTCTAGTGACATATAAAATACGGTATATGTTAATGGTGAGGCTTCCTATCAACAGCAGGCTATTAGCAGTTATGTTTTGGGGAGTCAGAAGTTATTTGTGGATTGAAAACTACACAGAAAGTCACCTCCTGCAGGCACCAGACCATGTGACAAATGAACCTCTGGGGCCCTGGGCTCCAGCTTGAAGTTGAAGAGGGAGGCATCGTGCTTCTGTGTGGCAAAACTTCTGTGAAAGTGGCTCCCTGGGAAAGACTCCTTGCATTGAATCAAACACTGAAGTAAGCCACACATTTGCAGAGCCCCCTAAAGTGTTACTTTATTTTTTTATAAGTTTTTAAAAAACATATTTTATTGATTTCAGAGAGGAAGGGAGAGAGAGACATCAGTGATGTCTCCTGCATGTCCCTACTGAGGACTGAGCCTATAACCTGGGTATGTGCCCTGACCAGGAATCAAACTGTGATCTCCTGGTTCATAAGTCAATGCTCAACCACTGAGCTACACTGGCAGGGATATATATATATATATATATATATATATATATATATATATATACATATATATATATATATATATATATATATATATTTTTTTTTTTTTACCTAATTCTTGATTTAAAAAAAGGGATCCCATTTTGTCTTCATCCCTCTAAAAACTGTGACAGTGTAAGCCATCCAGAGAACTGTGACTGCTGAGGCCTGTCCCACCCTCAGCCCCACACCTCCTGCCAGGCTCCCCTGGTCCAGGCTCAGGGCCAGGCCAGCTCTCAGCAAGGAGCTCAGGTTCCCTGTGCAGGGACTGCACAGTGAGTCCCCTATTGGCTCAGGACACTTGCTAAGTGCCGAGCACTCTGCATGGCCCTGGCCCCTAGAACCCATTACTGACAGAGGTGACAACAGAGTGGCACTTACAATATGCGGAGGGAGCCCAGGGGAGGGGCACAGCCCAGTTCTTGGAGCTGGCTCTCTCTCTGCCGTGTTCCGCTGGACCCCATTCCCGGCCTTGAGAGCTTCCCCGTACCCTAGTTCCTCTAGACGCAGGTGCTCCCCTAAACCCCAGCACAGGAGCCAGGCAGGGCTCTGCTACCCCCCACATGCCAGGCTGGCCCAGCACCAGCACCTGCCTGGCCCTCAGAAGAGGATGAAGGTGACTGGTCAGTGGGACCACCTCCTCCCCGCTGGGCCCTGTCTCCACAGATGAAAGGGGCTGCCCTCGGCATGGCTCCCAGCCGGCCCCACAGGAGTGCTGCGTGCACAGCCGCTTTCGCTGCCCCACCTGGCCCGCGTTCACCTTCAGCTGGCCTTGTCACACTGCACGGCAGTGTGGACGGGGCTTAAGCCTGCCATCCTCCAGCAGCGCACAGCAAGGTGTCCTCTGAGCTGTGTGTGCCAAGCTGACAATCCCCCACGTCGGAGGGGGTCTGCAGGTAGCACAGCCCTGTCCTCAGAGGTCCCTCGGGAAATAAGGTAGACCTTGCTTTGTAGCGCTTCACAGATTTTTTTTTTTTTTTTTTTTTTTTTTTTTTTTTTTTTTTTTTACAGATTGAAGGCAAAACCCTCCTCCCACAAAAAAAAAGATGACGACTCACTTTACTGCCATGGT